CCCCAAAACCCCAAAACCCCAAAACCCCAAAACCCCAAAACCCCAAGAGAGAGTACCTTAGTTGAAATTTTGAATTTGAATTATGCTGTCTTGATGTTGTACTTTTCAAATACCTAGAGGAAGATGAGGAAGAAGCACAATGAACGCTAGAGAAGCCTGATGGGTCTGGCCAATATAGATTTCATAACTAGGAACTACCCAAACATATTTTATTCGTAAATAGAAAGGACCTTACCTTTTTGAGCATCTCAGAGTGTTTTTGGATAAAATCTTCCTTCTCAGTTTTCCTTTCAATGAAGCAATACTCTTGGCCAGTTATAGGAGTTGTGTAAAAATATGGGAACAACAGAGAAGGGAAAAGATTATACGTTCCGAAATTAATGAAATGGTAATCTCTCCAAGTAGCTTCAAGGTCAAATTTAGGAATTGCTGGCCCTCTCGAAATTTGTGAAAGGAGTTCAAGGAAGGTTCTTCCTGAGAAATTAAGGTACATCTCCATTCCACAGTATCACGACACTGAGTAAGCGATCATTGAACTCTGCCAATAGATGAAAGCGTTTAAGTGACAGTGAGACTTATATGCTTCTGATTCCTCAAAGTACCACAATAGCCAGTAGTTTTGAGGGAAGACAATAACTCACCAGACGAGAAAGGAAAGGAAGATCTTGTTGTTCTCCATCGAAACACAGTTGTTAACCCATGGGCAATGGTGATCAAGCCTGTATGTACACCTCTTACAAGTAGAGCAGTGAGACATGCTATAGGGTTTATCTGCTTTACATTTTTCACAATATCTCATCTCTTTTTCATAATCATTCTCTATACAGAACTTCTTTACGTCCTCTTCAGTTTTGTGGGAGTGACTCAGAAGCTCTCTAACGAGTGGCTTGAAACCTTTGATTTGTTCTTTGCTAAATCTCTTCTCCATTGGCGGGAATTTAGGAGTAGTGACATGCTGATTTCCACTCATGTAAACTAAGATATGATAGAATACGTGAAAATGTAGAGTTGAGATTGCATAAATTGGAAGCCATATTTTCTTGATGATAGGGTTTGCAATTGAATCAGTGTCTTCCTTAACTAAGTTGATAAAAAACATCACATGAAGAACTGTTCCAAAGTAAAGGATTATTCTTCAGGGTATCCACATATATCTATAAAGCCTTCCCATTGCATATCTGAGAAATTTCTCGTCATTTAGCTTCTCTGCTAACATTTTGAATTCAATTTATTAAAGATTTTGAGGGGTTTTGGGGTTTTGGGGTTTTGGGGG